TAACTATGAAGTCAAATTCCTTCATTTTAGACAAAGGGGAATTAATCTGTCCACTGACTATGTAAAGCCATGGGGGAGGGCAGTGGAACTGCGCCCTGACATGACTTACACCCTTGCTGTTTCTACTGGTAATCGACAGAAAACATTTCAATCCACCACGATGACTTGGTGGGATAGGTCCTGAGGCTTCAAAATGTGTTTTTGTGTCTCACTGCTCTGTGGCATGACTTTGTGTCATTTGGGGATAGGGGAAAACTATTACTTGTTTTGATGCCCAGTGCAACTTTCTGTTTTACAACCACAATCAGTCAGAAGTGGAAAGATATGAGAAACTCATTTCCTGTAGTTGAGGAAACAGTGGCACATGCCTTGTCTAACGCCATACAGCTAAATATGGGCAGAGCCAGCTGGTCTGTTTAGAGCATTCCAGTACTCTTTTTTAGGATGTCTGATACCCTCTGCTCCTCTGAAGTGAAATGGTCACGCATAATATTATTTACTTTACTGTGGCAGCCTTGGAAAATAAATAATTTGGAGTTTAGGAGAACCAGAGGGATATAGGGAAGGCATGTGGTTAGTGAAGGGAAATGGAATGAGATGTTAGTTCATTTCTTCATTCATTCTTTCATTCATTTATTCACCTAACAAATACCAATTGGATATACTGATTATAGAACCTTTTCTAGTGCTACTTGTGCCACTTATGTTGAGCTTCTATTTTCTCATCTGATAAATAAGGATGTTAAAATACATCTAATAATTATAAATATGGAAAACTTGATCTCACTAGTAATCATAGTAATGCAATTATACATACTATGAGTCACCATTTTTGTTTTTACTTTTTAAAACAACAAACATTATAAAATAATGCCTAATGCTAATGAGGATATGATGAAAATGCAGTTTCAAATAGATATTTTGGAAAGGAGTGTAGTGGGTTAGTAAGAGCCATAAAAAGATCTATGCTCCTTGACCCAGGGATTCCATTTCTGGGAATCAATTCTAAGTACATTTTAAGAAAGAATCTACGTACACAAAGATGTCTAATGATAGTTTTATTATTAGCAAAACATGGAAACAATATAACTGCTAAATCCAATGGACAACAGTAAATAAATTCTAGTGGATACGCCCAGTGAAATGTTATGCTGCCAAAAGAGAAAATAACTATCATGAAGTTTCTATAGTAATAAGAAAAATGGTTGATACAATGTTGATCATAAATAGAAAATCATTATTATAGAGATGAGGAGAGAGCCTCACAGGAGAAAAGAATCAAATGCTCAAAAGGTGGTGATAGGGTAGATTAATGGGTTGTTTTGTATTTCCTTTTTCTGAAGTTTCTAAAATATGTTTATGTTACTATTTTCCAGAGCCAGGCCGTGATGTCAGACCTGATTTGAATTCCAACATCAAACGCTTACAAGCAGTGTGATTGTCGAGTTTTCTTCTCTGTAAAAGGGGATTAATAAATGAATACGCTTCATAAGGTTGATGTGTGGATTAGAGAAAATAATGGATGTGGAGTGGTTCCTACAGTGTCTGATTGTTTGAAATTTGTTAATGAATAGCAATTATTACCATTTTTATGAGGATTTTGAATGTATTGCTGAACATTAATGACAAAAATCTCAATAATATCTACGAGTCATTCTTGTTCTAAGTTTTAATATTTCTTTTTTTTTTAATTTTTTATTATACTTTAAGTTCTAGGGTACATGTACCCAATGTGGAGGTTTGTTACATAGGTATACATGTGTCATGTTGGTTTGCTGCACCCATCAACTTGTCATTTACATTAGATATTTCTTCTAATGCTATTCCTCCCGCAGTCCCCCAGCCCCCAAGAGGCCCCGGTGTGTGATGTTCCCTTCCCTGTGTCCAAGTGTTCTCATTGTTGAATACCCACCTATGTGTGAGAACATGCAGTGTATGGTTTTTGTCCTTGGGATAGTTTGCTGAGAATGATAGTTTCCATCTTCATCTGTGTCCCTGAAAGGACATGAATTCATCCTTTTTATGGCTGCATAATATTCCATGGTGTATATGTGCCACATTTTCTTAATCTAATCTATCACTGATGGACATTTGAGTTGGTTCCAAGTCTTTGCTATTGTGAATAGTGCCACAATAAACACACGTGTGCATGTGTCTTTATAGTAGCCTGATTTATAATCCTTTGGGTATATACCCCGTATTGGGATGGCTGGGTCAAATGGTATTTCTAGTTCTAGATCCTTGAGGAATTGCCACACTGTCTTCCACAACAGTTGAACTAATTTACACTCCCACCAACAGTATAAAAGCGTTCCTATTTCTCCACATCCTCTGAAGCATCTGTTGTTTCCTGACTTTTTAATGATTGCCATTCTAACTGGTGTGAGATGGTATCTCATTGTGGTTTTGATTTGCATTTCTCTGATGACCAGTGATGATGAGCATTTTTTCTTGTGTCTGTTGGCTGCATAAATGTCTTCTTTTGAGAAATATCTGTTCATATCCTTTGCCCACTTATTGATGGGGTTGTTTTTTTCTTGTAAATTTGTTTAAGTTCTTTGTAGGTTCTGGATATTAGCCCTTTATCAGACGGATAGACTTCAAAAATGTTCTCCCATTCTGTAGGTTGCCTGTTTATTCTGATGGTAGTTTCTTTTGCCATGAAGAAGCTCTTCAGTTTGATTAGATCCCATTTGTCTATTTTGGCTTTTGTTTGCATTGCTTTTGGTGTTTTCATCATGAAGTCCTTGCCCATGCCTATGTCCTGAATGATATGGCCAGGGCAATCAGGCAAGGGAAAGTAATAAAGGGTATTCAATTAAGAAAAGAGGAAGTCAAATTTTCCCTGTTTGCAGATGACGTGATTGTATATTTAGAAAACCCCATCGTCTCAGCCCAAAATCTCCTTAAGCTGATAAGCAACTGCAGCAAAGTCTCAGGATACAAAATCAGTGTGCAAAAATCACAAGAATTCCTATACACCAATAACAGACAAACAGAGTCAAATCATGAGTGAACCCCCATTCACAATTGCTCAAAGAGAACAAAATGCCAAGGAATCCAACTTACAAGGGATGTGAAGGACCTCTTCAAGGAGAACTACAAACCACTGCTCAATGAAATAAAAGAGGACACAAACAAATGGAAGAACATTCCATGCTCATGTGTAGGAAGAATCAATATAATGAAAATGACCATACTGTCCAAGGTAATTTGTAGATTCAATGCTATCCCCATCAAGCTACCAATGACTTTCTTCACAGAATTGGAAAAAACTGCTTTAAAGTTCATATGGAATCAAAAAGAGGCCGCATTGCCAAGACAATCCTAAGCCAGAAGAACAAAGCTGGAGGCATCATGCTTCCTGACTTCAAACTATACTACAAGGCTGCAGTAACCAAAACAGCATGGTACTGGTACCAAAACAGGGAGATAGACGAATGGAACAGAACAGAGTCCTCAGAAATAACACCACACATCTACAACCATCTGATCTTTGACAAACCTGACAAAAACAAGAAATGGGAAAAGGATTCCCTATTTAATAAATGGTGCTGGGAAAACTGGCTAGCTATATGTAGAAAACTGAAACTGGATCCCTTCCTTACACCTTATAGAAAAATTAATTCAAGATGGATTAAAGACTTAAATGTTAGACCTAAAACCGTAAAAATCCTAGAAGAAAGCCTAGGCAATAATATTTATTTTAAACATGGCGTTTAAGTAAGTTTTTTGTGACAGAGATGTATTCATACATTAATGTGAGGCCAAAATGTTGTTCCAAGATGATAGAGTTTTGAAAATAAATTTTCCTTAGGGAATAAAATGAGATTATTTCTGTCTATTTAAAATCTGAACTGGTTTCTTTTTAGGGATGTGAGGCAACATATAGTTTTATATTTAGGATATTTGGGAAGGTGTTAGGTTAGAAACTAGTCACTTCCCTCATTTTTTCTTCTAATAGCTGCCCTTGGTTCTACATAAAAATAAAAAGATGGATCATTATTTATGCACTTACGAGTAATAGAAGAATCTTTGTGATGCTATATGTTTAGAACAGTCCCACATCTTGCTTTTCCCAAGGTTTTTGATGTGGGGGGAATTTGATTATTTTCTTGGTACAAGAAGACTTATAATATTCTTATGTATGTCTAGAAGCTGATGTATAAAGGCTTTCTGGGAGTGAAATGGTTCTTTCAGATTGACTTTTGGATAATACATGTGTAAGTGAATCAGATGGTTATTGATTAAATGTCTTCCCAACACAAAACAAATTGACCGGATGTATGAAGGGTTTCGCCAACCCCCAGTGTTTGATATTCCCCAACAACTTTTGGCTGCTGATTTCCAGCTAAGAGTTGAAAGGTGGAAATCTTGCTTGGTAATATATTAGTGGAGCAAGGAGCAAGGAGCAAGGCAGAAAGGCAAGGAGTAATCTCTGAGGCAAGAAACTTTTGAATCTTTTCATCATATCCGTATAGCTATTATTCAGTAAAAGAAAACAAAAAAGAGAACTTGGAAAAAGTTCTGAATTCTATGTGCTAAATTCTCTCCATTCTGGTGAGATAGCATGACAACCTTGTGTCTTGATTAGGTTTGATTATGGAAAGTCTGGAGAGAGGCCAAGAGAAGTGGTTTCCCAAGGTGATGGCAGAGATGAATAGGCAGGCCACCTTAATATTGGTCTTGGATTTGGCAGGCCACCTTAAGATTGATAACACTTGATTCAAGAATGAGTATTTGTAAGAGTCTTTGAAGCTTGGGTAATACTTTAAAACATGTTGCAGGTGTGAGACTCAACATCACCTGTCTGGATAAATATTCATTATCACCTTCAAACTGTATCAGTATCCAGACACATTGTTGAAGCCTGTCTTAGCCAGCAGCACTCAGCTTGGTAACAGAAGTCTAAGAAACTTTAGAAGTAATACATGAATTTTCTGCTCTAACATGCTTTTGCTTGACCAAATAATGCTATTTATGCTTGCTGCTGGTGGGAATTAGAGGATTGGTGACATAAGCATGTAAGATAGGTTTTTTTCTTGTTTTGTCCTGTGTTTTGTTTCTGATGGTGTTTTGTTTCTAATGCTGGACAGAGACCATGTCAAAGTCCTCTGGAGATAAAACTCCATCTCTTCCACTGTCCCTGGCAAAGAATTGTGAGTCTGCTCTTCAGGATTTATGCCACTCAGCAGCATTTGGAGAATATGGCAATGTTAGTCCTAATGGACTCCTCTTAAAACATTTTGGGTTATGTGCCTCTGGTATTGAGTTTATTATGAGATTCTTGATTCCTGGTTTCAATACTGGACCAAACACTCTAGGCATCTATTATTTGGAAGAATATAAACATTTTGTTATGATGAATTGCCAGCTGAGGAATTGACAGCACCCTTTTCAATCCGTTGTGAACATATTCACTGGTTGATCCAATATGAGCATGATTGGAAACTAGATGGCTTTTCTTTGACGGTCTCCAACTGGGAAAACTATCTTTTTATTGAATTGGTCCACAGATCTCTGATGACATAGAAAAACATGCACTGCCTCAGTTGGGATTAGAGGATCTGAGCAGTGGCTGGCCACTCCAATCACCATGCCGTGCTGCCTTCTCCCCAGCCCCATCTCACCAGATCGTATGGTCACAGCAGAAGGTGAGCAAATTCTGGAACCGAGGGGAGCACAGTACACATAGGAAACTCTTCTCTCACTCCAACGATACAACTTTCCTAGGCCAGGCTGTTGCCTTTTTGATTGTCTATCTTGGCAGAACCTATGCTATTCTCTGATGAGGGACACAAGAGCTGCACGAAGCGCAAGAAAACTTCTTCTTATCTCTATTATTCTTTTTTAGGGAGATTATGTGCCCACAATAGAATGGAGCTGAGTTCTGCTGCAGGAAGTAGATTGCGCTAAGGATTTGCAGCTAGATCAAAAGGTAGGAGATGAGTGATTGTTGCCCAGGGAACCAACTTGCAAAAGGAAGATTCCCTTAGTATTTCTTCCTCTTGTCTTCATTTTAATGATGAAGGAGCTGGCCAGGGAAAGCTGATTTAGAGCCTTCTTCTCTGTATATATAGCAGGGCATGGTTGGGTGGTTGCAGAATGAGGATATTGTAGTGATCCTATTTACCAAACCTTTATATTCAATCTTCTGTTTTATCGTCCCCTCTCCCTACTGATCTATTTTCCAGTGTGTAAACTGAATAGCTCACAATGCAAAAGGAGAGTGACTTGAGAGGTACAAGCTCTCATGTGACACATAAATAACTGATCAGAAGTGACATTTTAAGAACAGCATAATCCTTTGTAAACATGGTCTCAAAGGTCAAAGCTAAAACACCTTGTATACTGACCATGTTATGTTGGGCCTTTATATCTCATTGAACATGATTTACATGCAGTCTTCCCCAAATATTCGAGGACTGGAATGTCTGATTTTATCAAACTCATAAATAAAATACAATGTGGTATCTGTGATGCTGTGGGACCAGAGAGGGCTGGCTGAGAGTCCTGATTTCACCAGTTACCAGCTGTGTGATCTAGGGTGAATGACGTCACTCTGCTCTCTGCAAAATGAAAGGAATCCTCATAACAATTCACAGAGTGGACACCACTGATAAGTAAGATAGGGTGGGCAACCACTTAGTTCTGTGCTTAGCTGAGTCAGTGTCAATTTATGTTAAATGAGTAATTAGCAAATGCCTACTGTATCCAAGACGTGTGTCACGCACAAAACTCTCTGGGATATCAAAGTCTGTCTTAAAAATATTTAAGGTTTTTGTTGCCACTGTTGACCTGAGCAGCTAGTGAAAGAAACCAGACAAAAGCCTTTTAATATTTATAACAAATTCAAGCTAAGTTTGTGGACAAAGTTCTTTGTGAGCAATGTCTCCAACATCTGTGAATGTTTTTAGTTCATTGAATATTCCATGGATGCCCTTCCATATGACTAATTTTGGTGTCAGAATTTCTGTTTATTGCTGGTGGGGTGAAGCTCCACACTCAACTCCCATCCAAAGATGCCTCCATCTCTCTCTTCTCTTTGTGCCTCCTGTTTGCTTCTTAGTGATGCTTGTGTTAATGCTTTTTTTTTTTTTTTTTTTTTTCAAAATTGAACTCGTAATAGATGGTGGAGTGAGAGATGGGTCACATAACAAAATTAGGCTCATTTTTGGTGCGTTCAAGTGCTAGCCTCTGACACGAATGGTAAATTACAAAAAATGAACAGGATACCCTGAAGAGTTGATGGTTTTCCTTCCTCAAATTGCTAAACAGTGGATGGAGTAAGGGTGATTTTCCTAGTGTTAAAACTATTCCCTGGGGGTAATTTTGGGCACCTTGGGAAGATGCATTAACTACTTTTGGTCACCAGAGAGCCATTGCTAAGTAGATCATAAAGAGGCACACTAGTAAGAATAATTAGCAGATATCTTTGTGGGATGAAGACCTGGGTAGTTTTATTGGAAGAAATGTTCTGACTATAGTTTATAAGGCTCTTGAACATGAACCTTTCCAAAAGTAAAGCTTGTAGGTAAGAAATGCCTTGGTATTTGTGCTGATCTTTAAATGCCTCTAATAGAAAATTAGGCTTTATGAATTTCAAAGATGTTTTGTGAACATCAACACGTTGGTTGTTCACAACAACACGGCCAAGTTGGGCTGGGTGGGGAGCTTAGGGTGTTGCTTTATTAGCAGAATACTTTATGTAAAGAATGGTGAATTTAGAATCAGGGAGACCTGAGCACTGACTGGACTTGGCTACTTCCTATTCATGTGGCTTTAAGCAATTTATTTTCCCTTTTTGGGTCTCAGTTCTATTGCTTGTGAAACAGTGGGAGTGGATTAGATCAGGGATGGCACATTCTTGGCAAGTGTACTACCTCCTTCTCAACCTGCATCCTTAATGGACATTGTTAATTGGTCAGGGCATATTTTCACACTGAGCACCAGAGGCTTTAGAACAACTTCACTTCTGTCCACAGGTTACCCACAGTGTTGACCTACGAGTGTAAGGCATGTGTAATGGGATGAAGGAAGGTTCGGTGAGATGCTGAAATGAGATACAGAATACAATGATCATATTCAGGTAATTTATGGGTTGAACTTTTCCGTGTTTATGACTGAATTCTAACATGTATTATATCACCAGGGGCAAAACGAAGTAGTGGTAAAGAGGGTGGATTCTGTGTTCTCATCCCAACTTCATATCGTATTAGTTGGGTCATTTAACTTCTCCATTCCTCTGTTTCTACCTCATAGAATGGTTGTGAAGTTTAGCTAAGGTAAGGTATCTAAAACACTTAACACAGTGACTGAGATATCTCAAAGATCTTAGTAAATGCTAGCTATGAATATTCAACTCTTGTTTTCTGGTGAGCCAATTAAGAGTTAATGAAGAAAACATTAGCTCAGATAATCTTCCAAAGTGCTCCAGCATTGCTAATAACCTTGCATGTCAGAAATTCCGTTTTAAGAGTAGCTCTTACAATACTCTGAGATTTTATTAGTGGCTATTAATTGACAAAATCCTAAGAAATGCTTTTTGTTTTATTTTTGGAAGGCAAATTTTGGTGTAGCTTGTGGTAATTTGTAAAACTCCCTCCTCCACATTCTGTATCTTATTTACATTCTAGGCTAGCATCTGCAAATTTTCACCCTGAATCATGAAACAGTCAAAATTTAAAAATAGGGAAAGAATGACTTGCACTTTAGGAGCCTGGGTGGCCTTCTGCCTGTAGAATCCTTCATTGTGCTGACATAGTTTTTCTAGCCCTTCTCTCAGTTTGACATGGGCACCAAGATAGTGAAACAAAAAGCAGAATGTCTCCTACTGGTGGCTCTAAAATTTCTTCCCCTAATTTCTTGCCTGGTAAAAAGAATGTGTATAAATACACAAATTACTGATCAAAAGCTATTTGTGAGCTGTTTTCATGGACCTCATTGAGGGGACATTCTGAGAACACTTCTCACTGAGTTTGAGCATTTCCATCCCATAGGGCAGACTTCATTGTAGAAAAACAAAGACCCAGACACAAAGCCAGTTGATGAGACTTGGACTTCCTCCCTTCTGCTCCCCGCTGCCAACCCTGCTCACAGCCAGCCAGACCCCAGCAGCTCTGGACATTCTTCAATGCTCAGCACCTGCCGATCAGGCATCATTTGAAATAACAGAGATGCCTTCTATTATATAGGAAAAGTTGACATCTTTCAGGGCAAAGGGTTTACATTGGAGGCTCCCTTCATAGGTGAAGAAATGTAAAGGAACTTAGGGAAAGCTGTGTTGCTGAGTTCTGGAGCCTACGAGGGAAGAGTCTTCTACAGTAAAGCTTTGACTCTAGGCTGCTGGTGCTTCCGTGGGGGAGCCCGGAGGAGCTCACAGTTTTGACAGATTTATTCCCAAAGATGTGCTTGCCCACTGACCGAGCCTTGGTTGTCTTAATCCTGCTCAATCTCCTTTCCCTTGAGTTCCAGCCTCCCTTTATGAAGCAACACTAAGGTTACCCCGAATGAGAATGGCCACAGAGCAGCAGGGATTTGGGCTTTTTTTTTCCCCCCCAAGCAAGAGCCATAGTGCACTTGCTGGAGCGTAGAATAGTTCCCCAAAGACGTGTTTCCCTGCTGTTCACATAATGAAAAGTGAAGTTCTTGATGTCTTTTCCCCAGAATTTGTGTAATTTTTATTTGTGTATCATGTAGTTTCTTTATTTATAGCTCTAAGTAGATTTATTTAGAGCTTGGATATAGCTCATTATAGTCAACACCTCTTATGGCACATGCTTGATTTGGGGCTCTGATATGGTTTGGATCTGTCTGCCCACCCAAATCTCATGTTCAGTTGTAATACCCAGTGTCAGAGGTCGGGGCCTGGTGGGAGGTGATTGGATCACGGGGATAGATCCTTCATGAATGGTTTAGCACCATCCCTTTGGTGGTGGTCTCATGATAGAGTTCTCAAGAGATCCGGTCATTTAAAAGTGTGTAGCACCACCCTCCACCAACTCCTGTTCCTCTTGCTCTGGGCCATGTGAAGTGCTGCTCCCCCTTTGCCTTCAGCCATGACTGTAAGTCTCCTGAGGCCTCCCCAGAAACTGAGCAGATACCAACATCATGCTTCCTGTACAGCCTGTGGAATCGTGAGCTGATTAAACCTCTTTTCTTTATAAATTAGCCATTCTTGGGTGTTTCTTTATAGCAATGTGAGAGTGGACTAATACAGGGTCTTTTTTGTTTTGGTTTGGTTTAAAGATGCACATTGAGATTTCCACCTACATCCTCCCATCTATCTTTCTGCCAATCCAAATTCTTTATTTTCTGACCCTGCATCTATTCAATACATATTTATTGAGTATCTACTATGTCCTAGGCTGCACTTAAGTGCCCAGTATCCAGCAGAAAACAAAATAGAGAAATCAAAGGCAAAAGCCTTTCCCTCTGTTGTGGCCATTTGCAGACGGCGGATGGACTACCAGTCAAATTTTGATTCGGAGATAGAGACTAATGATAACATACATGCGGCAGAAAGGTATGAAAATTTTGTTATTCACATAAAGAGACTTTCTGGGAACAGTGGGGAGGCACCCAAGCAGGTCCAAAAATGACATGAAAAAAACAGGAATGGGGACTGGCTCAGGTTTCTTCTGGTAGAGAGTGTGTGGAGCTGGGATACTGATCCCCATGCTTGTGCAGGTGCTTGTGTGATTTGAAGCTCCCATCAGCACCACAGGAGGGAGCACCCAGGCTTTCTTATCAGCTTGCCTACACATGGAGCAGAAGGAGAAGAGAGAGGGTCAGCAATAAAATGTCAAAAATGGCTTACATTCTTTAAACATTTTTATTAGTTGTAGTATAACACATGCACAGTTAAGTAACAAATGTTAAGCATACAGCTTATGAGTTTTTAGACCCATGTAAACATAATCCGGAAAAGATATAGAATGATTCCAGCAGGCATAACATTCCCTTGTGTCCTCCCATCCAGTCAATTCTTGAAATAAGCACTATTCTGACTTCTATCATTAAATATTAATTTTTCCTGTTCTTGCGATTTTTATAAATGGAATCATAGCATGTATGTCTGCAGTGGTGCCTTCGTATTAAGTCAAGTGAACACATGTATTTATATAGATCTGGGACTGGACTTTCTATTCTGTTCTATCCTGGCACCAATCTGACACTGTCTTAATCACTAAAGCTTTTTAGGAATTTCCATATTTGATAATGAAAGTCCTCCAACTCTCCAACTTTGTTCTCCTTCAACACTGATTTTCCATATCCTTTGCATTTCAACACAGATGTTTTAGAATCAGCTCCTCAGTTACACACACACTCACAAACACACCCTCTCTGATGGGCCTTTTGTTGGAATTGCATTAAATCTAAAGACCCATATAGACAGAATTGACACCATCAAATTCATATTGAGAATTTAAATCAATGTGAAATATTTTCTCATTTATGTCTTTTAAAATTTCTAACAACACTATTTTTCAGTTTTCACTCTAGAGCCCTTTCACATCTACAATTGGATTTATTCCTACCTATTTGATGTTTCTAAATACAATTGTAAATGCTACTTCAAAATTTTATTTTCCAATTATTTGAAGCCAATATATAGACACAGTTGATTTTTGCTACTGACCTTGACACTCGTAGCCTTGATAAATCTGTTTAACAATAATAGCTTGTATAACTTTTGGAATTTTTGATGTGCACAATCATGTCATACATGAATGTAGCAATATGTCTTCTAACTCTTTAATCTTTATACTTCTATTTTTTTTGTTTTATAATGTTGCTAGAAGCCTGTACAACGTCAAAAGATGTGGTCATGTGCATACCCTTTTCTTTGTTTCTAATTTCAGGGGGAGATTCTTTTATAATCTACCAATAAGTATGTTACTGGCTATGGATTTTTTGTAGCTGTTCTTTAATAGATTAAATACTTTTCTTCCTATTCTTATTTGCTGAAAGCTTTTTTCCTTAATCAGGAACAGGTGGTGAATTTTATCAAAGGCTTTTTCTGCCTCTGTTAAGACCATACCATTGGTCTCCTTTATTCGGTTAAGGTGGTGATTTATGTTGATTCATTTTCAAATACTAATGTACTCCTGGATGATATCCTGAAGAGTGTTTTCCAACTTGGTTCCATTTTCCCCCTCACTTTCAGGTACCCCAATCAGATGTAGATTTGGTCTTTTTACATAATCCCATACTTCTTGCAGGCTTTGTTCATTTCTTTTTCTTCTTTTTTCTTTTGGTTTCTCTTCTCGCTTCATTTCATTCATTTGATCCTCCATCGCTGACATTCTTTCTTCCAGTTGATCGAGTCGGTTACTGAAGCTTGTGCATTTGTCACGTATTTCTTGTGCCATGGTTTTCGTCTCTTTCATTTCGTTTGTGAGCTTCTCTGCATTAATTACTCTAGCCATCAATTCTTCCACTTTTTTTTCAAGATTTTTAGTTTCTTTGCGCTGGGTACGTAATTCCTCCTTTAGCTCTGAGAAATTTGATGGACTGAAGCCTTCTTCTCTCATCTCGTCGAAGTCATTCTCCGTCCAGCTTTGATCCGTTGCTGGCGATGAGCTGCGCTCCTTTGCCGGGGGAGATGCGCTCTTATTTTTTGAATTTCCAGCTTTTCTGCCCTGCTTTTTCCCCATCTTTGTGGTTTTATCTGCCTCTGGTCTTTGATGATGGTGATGTACTGATGGGGTTTTGGTGTAGGTGTCCTTCCTGTTTGATAGCTTTCTTTCTAACAGTCAGGATCCTCAGCTGTAGGTTGTAGCTGTAGGAGATTGCTTGAGGTCCACTCCAGACCCTGTTTGCCTGGGTATCAGCAGCAGAGGCTGCAGAAGATAGTATATTTCTGAACAGCGAGTGTACCTGTCTGATTCTTGCTTTGGAATCTTCCTCTCAGGGGTGTACTCCACCCTGTGAGGTGTGGCGTGTCAGACTGCCCCTAGTGGGGGATGTCTCCCAGTTAGGCTACTCAGGGGTCAGGGACCCACTTGAGCAGGGAGTCTGTCCCTTCTCAGATCTCAACCTCCGTGTTGGGAGATCCACTGCTCTCTTCAAAGCTGTCAGACAGAGTCGTTTGCGTCTGCAGAGCTGCTGCGTTTGTTATTGTTTACTGTGCCCTGTCCCCAGAGGTGGAGTCTACAGAGACAGGCAGGTTTCCTTGAGCTGCTGTGAGCTCCACCCAGTTCGAGCTTCCCAGCAGCTTTGTTTACCTACTTAAGCCTCAGCAATGGCGGGCGCCCCTCCCCCAGCCTCGCTGCTGCCTTGCCGGTAGATCACAGACTGCTGTGCTAGCAATGAGGGAGGCTCCGTGGGTGTGGGACCCTCCTGGCCAGGTGTGGGATATGATCTCCTGGTGTGCCGGTTTGCTTAAAGCGCAGTATTGGGGTGGGAGTTACCCAATTTTCCAGGTGCTGTGTGTCTCAGTTCCCCTGGCTAGGAAAAGGGATTCCCTTCCCCCTTGCGCTTTCCAGGTGAGGCAATGCCTCGCCCTGCTTCAGCTCTCCCTGGTCGGGCTGCAGCAGCTGACCAGCGCCGATTGTCTGGCACTCCCCAGTGAGATGAACCCAGTACCTCAGTTGAAAATGCAGAAATCACCAGTCTTCTGTGTCGCTCGCGCTGGGAGTTGGAGACTGGAGCTGTTCCTATTCGGCCATCTTGCTCCGCCCCCCCATCTGGATCCTTTCCTTACTCCTTATACGAAAATTAATTCAAGATGGATTAGAGACTTAAATGTTAGACCTAATACCATAAAAATCCTAGAGGAAGACCTAGGTAGTACCATTCAGGACATAGGCATGGGCAAAGACTTCATGTCTAAAACACCAAAAGCAACGGCAGCAAAAGCCAAAATTGACAAATGGGATCTCATTAAACTAAAGAGCTTCTGCACAGCAAAAGAAACTACCATCAGAGTGAACAGGCAACCTACAGAATGGGAGAAAATTTTTGCAATCTACTCATCTGACAAAGGGCTAATATCCAGAACCTACAAAGAACTCAAACAAATTTACAAGAAAAAAACAAACAACCCCATCAAAAAGTGGGCAAAGGATATGAACAGACATTTCTCAAAAGAAGACACTCATACAGCCAACAGACACATGAAAAAATGCTCATCATCACTGGCCATCAGAGAAATGCAAATCAAAACCACAATGAGATACCATCTCACACCAGTTAGAATGGCGATCATTAAAAAGTCAGGAAACAACAGGTGCTGGAGAGGATGTGGAGAAATAGGAACACTTTTACACTGTTGGTGGGAGTGTAAACTAGTTCAACCATTATGGAAAACAGTATGGCGATTCCTCAAGGATCTAGAACTAGATGTACCATATGACCCAGCCATCCCATTACTGGGTATATACCCAAAGGATTATAAATTATGCTGCTATAAGGACACATGCACACGTATGTTTATTGCAGCACTATTCACAATAGCAAAGACTTGGAATCAACCCAAATGTCCATCAGTGACAGATTGGATTAAGAAAATGTGGCACATATACACCATGGAATACTATGCAGCCATAAAAAAGGATGAGTTTGTGTCCTTTGTAGGGACATGGATGCAGCTGGAAACCATCATTCTCAGCAAACTATCACAAGAACAGAAAACCAAACACCGCATGTTCTCACTCATAGGCGGGAACTGAACAATGAGATCACTTGGACTCGGGAAGGGGAACATCACACACCGGGGCCTATCATGGGGAGGGGGGAGGGGGGAGGGATTGCATTGGGAGTTATACCTGATGTAAATGACGAGTTGATGGGTGCAGCACACCAACATGGCACAAGTATACATATGTAGCAAACCTGCACGTTGTGCACATGTACCCTACAACTTGAAGTTTAATAATAATAAATAAATTTTAAAAAAAAAATACTAATGTAACCTTACATGTGTGTGATGAACTCACTATATCATGATGTATTATACTTTTAAATATTGCTGGATTCAGTTTGCTTATATTTTGTTTAGAATGTTTATGCCTGTGTTTATGATAGATAATTTCCTATAATTTTCCTTGCTTGTAACGTCTTTGTCAGATTCTGTTATGAGGGTTTCTGTGGCCACAAAAAACAAGTTGGAAAGAATTTATTTTTTTAGAGGTTGTATTCAATTCTTATTATTTCTTTCTTAAATATTTTGATTCATGTTCTTTATTACCAGAAAACCCTTGTGCATTTCCATGTTGTAAGAGATACCTCTGTTTATCCTGTCTCCAACTCTTCACTCAGAAATTACTTTATCATTGCTGATGAAATGCTTCAATATAGCTGCTTTAAAATATGTGTGACATCTCCTTTGAGTTTGGAACTGATAATTAGTTGTCGATGATAATCATCATTCACATTTATTTAAAGCCTGTTAATAGTGGTTTTCTGACTACTTTTCCTTCTACAAATACAAGAGCAGATTTGAGGCAATTGATAACTCAATTTTACTTTCTTGAAATTTAAATGTTGAGAAAGTGTTATTTAATTCAGGCTTGGAAGTTGCAAACCCCACTCACAATGGTCTAGATCCATCCCAATTAACAAATTCATAAATTAATGGAAGGAAGGGAGAAATGAAGGGAAGGTGAGAGGAGGAAGGGAAGAGGAAAGGAAAGTGAGAGGGAGGCAGGAGGGGTGGAAAGAAAAAAAGAAAAGTGAGTGAGAGGGAAGAAAAGGAAGCGTGTAGGGGTGAGGGAGGGTGGGAAGAAGGAAATAATGTGGGCTTAGTATGGCAGTACCTTCTTCGGGCATTACAAGAAAATTAAGCTATATATTGTTTCTAAGGAATCTTTAGTTGAGAAGAGACAAATGATGAGAACATAAAACCCTGCATATTTTCAGAGCTAGCAGGGAGTTAAGAGCTGCCTGGTCTACCGCTCATTTGCAATTGAGGAGACAGAGGTTCAGATACGAGAATGCACCTGCCTCAGGTCATGCTCTTGGTCACTGGCAGAGCAGGGTCTAATATTACTATTTTCTAATTCTTGTCAGGAAATA